GGTTTGCCACACAGTACTTGATAGCTGTTTTTGGGTTAATAATTATATTTTGCATACTTTTAGCAAGTCTTAGAAATTCGGATTGTGTTATATTTTAGAAATTATCCAATTAAATCAAAATTTATGTTGATGATTTCTAAATTTATCCTAGTTACATGATGAATTTTATACATTAGTCACGTGGGGTGCATTTATGGAGAGAGTTTTCATATGAGCAGACTGAAAAATACCGTGCAGTGCAGAGTATGGAGGGTGTGCATTTACCACTAAGTCCTGAGGTTGGGACCGAGACATAGCGTGCATTTATGGAGGGTGCACTTATGGAGGTCTGACTGTATAATTTCGATTTCACATAGTTTCAATATATATATATAAATAATGTAAATTTCTGGAGTGATAACTAATTAAATTTGCAGGATGATAACTAATTAAATTTCTGGTATGTTATTGATAACCACAAGGATCTACGTCATGCGTCATTATAGAAGTGTGGGATAACACATATTAATACTTTTCATAGGGATAGTAAAACACATATGTACAACTTTTATTTATTAATAATAAAATTATAATTTAGAAAGTCAAAGATTGGTCACGATGTGTATATATGTGGGAAAAATTTTTATATGAAGAAATTATTAAATTATGTATTTTAATATGTATCTAAATAAAAACTAAAAATCTATAACTAAATGAATTATGATTTTATAAAATTAAGGATTTTCACTAAAATAAAGCTTTTCAAAGCCTTTTTCGCCCAATAACATTAATTTTTTACCATCTATTTTTACCCATTGTGATGAATCAGCTATGTTTGCCTCTTCACATCCTTGTGCATTTAATATTGCTCTACCAAGGTCCATTTGTTGAACAACATGTCTAATTTTAATCAATGAATTGAAAACACCTTCATTTCTAAGACTTGCTAAAAGTATGCAAAATATAATTATTAACCCAAAAACAGCTATCAAGTACTGTGTGGCAAACCGTACATCATAGCATGTTTTGTTCACTGTAAATTGAGTGGTACCAATGATTTTAGCCCGGTTGGTAGGAGTCACCATATTGATCATAATATTATTCCACTGGCGTTTGTAAATACCACTTATACCCTTTTCAATTACTCCCTCTTCTTTCCATTGTTGTAATAATGCCAAATTTCCAATCCCATCTCCTCGATAACCTTTTAAACTATCCTCAAGCTTACGCATCATGTCAACTGCCATAGCAGGAGCAGAAGCAGCATTTGCATTGGCATTAATACTCCATATGTTGGAAGCTCCTGCTGGTAATAAAAGAGTATTTTTGCTTACTAATAAACTATTATTAGGAAGTTTTTCTCCAAATTCAACTCCTCCCCACCAAGGATTCATTTCAGCAATATTAAGGGTTCCCTTTTCAATATACCATTGTGCTGGGATAGTTTGCACATCTATTACATTAGTTGATCCTGTTATACTGGATTGCAATTTGATGGTCTTTACACTTGCTTCAACTACACTAGCACAGCTGTACAAAGTTTGTTCAATTCCTTGTTTAGTATGTACGGGAAATCCAAGTAATGTCCAGCAGTCAACACCAACTATATTTTCTGTGAGATTGTCTTTTCTACCAT